TAACAGGAATATCTCTTATTTAAGAGTAAAAGTGTAATAACTGTCAGGTAATGAAAAAGTTAGCAGTCTGTTTGACAATTTATTTAAATTTAAAATTAATCTCTTTGCCCTCTAATGAAGAAGTACGTTGTCATCGGAGCTATTAGCGTCTATCTTTTGAATTTTTTAACTTTAATGCCCATTTGTAACAATTATAAAGATTCTACATCGATATTGAGCATGTGGTTAAGGTAGATAGCATATAAACATTGACATCTTGGGTCCATAATTCTATGCCTGACCTATATATAAGGACTATTTTTCTTCCGTATATATTTCCGTAGTTGGGTTGTTCGACTATATACACTTCCGTATTGTGACTACTAACGTAGATTTCGTTTAAATATAAAATTTATTACCAATCATGCGCTACTGAAGTCCGTAGCTGCTCCCGTGAGACCCTTATCGGAGCTGAACATCTGTGACAATTATAAAGAGGTGAAAATTGCATATATGTTGATCACCTGATTTAGGTAGAATATTTGATCTAAACGAAAATAGTTTTCTAGTTGATTTACATTTTAAACAGTTTTGGTAACATATCAACTTCAGCCGGAATGACGTTCATATGCAAATGGCATTTTATTCGATCATTTCCTTATCTACCGCATTATACCTTCTAATGTAGAAGTAGCGCTACTGAGGTTCGTGAAAAGTTAATCAGAGCCGACTCTGTCTATGACAATTATAAAGAGGTCAAAACTGTAACGCGTAGTCTAGGTAGACCTTTCGGTTTAAATGGATATAGTTTTCACTGTATAGACGACTTACAGTATGAAATCGGAACACCATAATTTTGGTCATCCGACTCTAGCTGGAATGATTTGACAATGATATAAACGAATGCCCTGTATTCACAACAATCTAGACGTCTTATAAACACCAAGATCTCAGATCAGAATAGCTATAGACTACAAAAAATGATATACCCAATATTTGTGAGTTAATGTTGCTTATCAGAAGCGAGGGAACCAAGGGGACTCATCCTAAACTTATCTGAGCCGTCAATATCCTTTGTGTAAGGAGATATCTGAAATATGTATGTGAATCAATATTTAAGTCATATAGACCTCGCTTTAGGTTAGATTACGTGGGTTGCTCTCTAGTTAGCGAGTTCACTCCTTGTGGCCAATTGTTATATCCTTAGAATTGACATTCCCTTATGTTGAGAGAATGGTTTCCCTCCTTAATTTCGTTGACTATTTAGTTCTTGCGATCTTCGTGAAAATCAGCCGGTGTTCCTATTAAAACCGATCATGTTTACTAGAGACGCATATCTGAGACAGTCCATATCATGGAAAAGAGCTCTACCAAGATAGAGTAGTCGGTGCTCTTGTAAGGCTGGGCAGCCACATAGAAGATGTTGCACCGATTACACTTCCTATTCGTTCAAACAGCTTCTACAGTAGGTATAATGTCAGTAGCCCATCAAGATTCAAGCCGATGCAAAATGAACGGCGGCGCAACCATTTTAGGTCGGTGGCGGCGGCTTATTATATAAAATATCGGCGGCGTCTAAATTGTCGGCTCAATTTAACCTTTTCTTCAGAAATTGACCTTATAAGCGTTTATTATATTGAAAAATCTGTTATTTAGAAACCTGTCTCTATATAAGTTTTTTCTGCAGAAAATGGACATGTATAGTAGTTTTCACTCTTTTAATATTAGCACTATATTGTGTGGCAACTCTATACAATTTGCCATAAGAATTTCAAATAGTGGCAACTCTGTTCAAATTGTTGAAATTATTTTCTGAAATACTTGTGCGATTCCAGTCTTTATCAGCGGCTACGTTTAAGCCGGCTTAACTTTTAAGCCGAAAGAAGTCGGCGGCGGCGCGGCTTGCAAAATATTACCGGCGGCTAGCCGGACAAGAAAGATTTCGATTGGTTTAGATTTGGAACGTTAATAACTTATTGATTATCTTAAAAGTAAATCGACTGTTGCGAAAAATGTCTATATCCTGCGATTATAACGAGATAAGCTTCTAATGATCACGATTTGAAAACTGATCTGGCCAAACACTTTAAATGATCGCGAAGATCGGTCGAAGTAATTTTAAAGAATACTAGGAAGTTTATTACTTTCTAAAGCATGTCTATATCGAACGTAACCAAAACTCTCCCAGTTAGTTAAACTTACACAGTTTGCAGTTTTAAATAATTGTTACTTAAACCTTTTCACGATCTTTTTTATATTTAATTATTTTATTTATTAATTTAAAACTTTAATTCCTTGAATTATTAATTTTATTAGAAAAAAGGAAAACAAAAATACATACAAAGAAAATATTCACAGCCTCTTCAGCATAATTACAGTAGGACCTTGATTAACCGTGATTCGATTATCCGGCAACATCAATTATCCGGGATGGAAAAATAAATTTTTTTGCATCAACTTAAGTTTATTTTGGATTGACTTAAATTTTTCTGCATCGTTTAACCGTTATTACCTCTATTATCCGTGATTATAAGCAAAATTCTATTTTTTAACAACCATGTACAATTAGAACAAATCTACTGTTTACTGTTTTATGACAAAATTATTATTTTTTATATTTTTGAAACATGTATGAATATAAAATCCTTGAATTATTTAGTTTTTATATAAATATAAATATTCATTTATTAATTAATAAAAATATCTATTAAAAAACTAGCCAAAATTGGCACTCAATTAACCGGGAAAATCGATTATACAGAATGCTTCCGGTCCCGACCATCACGGAAAATCGAGGTCCCACTGTATTACATAAAATTACGATTATTAAGATAAAACATTAAATATATATTGCAAAAATTCTTCTTATTACTTTTTTAGTTAGATCTTAAAAAATATAAATTTGATAAATTACATATTTGCGTTATTAAACGATAAAAATTATTACTAAATTACGTAAAACCATAAAAGGCAAATAAACTTAAAACCCAAAAACATCTGAATACGTGCAAAATTCAAATCATATAATATTTTTTTGCATATAATTTTAACAAACAAAAAAATCGTTCAATGTTAAAGTAAATTATCATAAATATTAAAAAATATATATTAAATAAAAAAATATTACATTATTACTTTTTTTATAACTACAACAAAAGAAAGAAAAATCGTTTTAAACATTAAATGACTTATGATTAAATGCATACAAAGTAATTTATCAAATTGGAACGATCGAGACGACGACATTAATGGCAAAAAATAAAAATTTTATTTAAAATTAAAATCAAATAATTTACAATAATAAACATAGTGGTTAAATAAATTATATATATAAAGTTTAAAGGTAGTATGTGTCACATTGTTCAAATATTTAATGTAATTGTTGTGATCAGATGTATAATCGTTAAATGTTGAAATGATCTTATCTAAGTAAGATCAAATAATTTAATAATATTTGTTTGTTTTAGTTTTAATTAAAGCTAGTTTAATTAAATTAATTTTCAAAATCAAAAAATAAATTTCGTGATCTCGTTATATTGTCAAATATTTGTACAATGTGAACTTACCTTAACAGTTGTGAGAAAAGAAAAATGTGCATAAGTAATTGCTTGATCAGTTGGCATTAATTTGGAGAGTTACAATGTGTTCGAAAAGTGTTAAATGTGGAAAAATAAAAGAACCTTTTGAAGATCGTTTTTCTGAGTTCAGAACCTGTAAATTCTTAATTTCATATAATCTCAACAACTTATAGAAGATATTTCCCGAAAGTTTTAAAAGATTTTATTCGAATAATTAAAGCAGGAATTATTGATTATAGCTCACGTCTTAAATCCATTTAGAGAGCAAATAGGAAATAGAACTGATCTAGAAATGATCTGGAGATGTACGAGAACTGAAATAGAACCGAACTAGAACTGTATGAGAAGTGAACTGAACTAGAACTGTATGAGAAGTGAACTGAACTAGAACTGAACTAGAGATGAACAAGAAATGAACTAGAACTGAACTAGAACTGAGCTAGAACTGAACTAGAACTGAACTAGAACTGAACTAGAACTGAACTAGAACTGAACTAGAACTGAACTAGAACTGAACTAGAACTGAACTAGAACTGAACTAGAACTGAACTAGAACTGAACTAGAACTGAACTAGAACTGAACTAGAACTGAACTAGAACTGAACTAGAACTGAACTAGAACTGAACTAGAACTGAACTAGAACTGAACTAGAACTGAACTAGAACTGAACTAGAACTGAACTAGAACTGAACTAGAACTGAACTGAACTGAACTAGAACTGGACTAGAACTGAGCTAGAACTGAACTAGAACTGAAGTAGAACTGAACTAGAACTGAACTAGAACTGAACTAGAACTGAACTAGAACTGAACTAGAACTGAACTAGAACTGAACTAGAACTGAACTAGAACTGAACTAGAACTGAACTAGAACTGAACTAGAACTGAACTAGAACTGAACTAGAACTGAACTAGAACTGAACTAGAACTTAACTAGAATTGAACTAGAACTGAACTAGAACTGAACTAGAACTGAACTAGAACTGAACTAGAACTGAACTAGAACTGAACTGGAACTGAACTAGAACTGTACTAGAACTGAACTAGAACTGAACTAGAACTGAACTAGAACTGAACTAGAACTGAACTAGAACTGAACTAGAACTGAACTAGAACTGAACTAGAACTGAACTAGAACTGAACTAGAACTGAACTAGAACTGAACTAGAACTGAACTAGAACTGAACTAGAACTGAACTAGAACTGAACTAGAACTGAACTAGAACTGAACTAGAACTGAACTAGAACTGAACTAGAACTGAACTAGAACTGAACTAGAACTGAACTAGAACTGAACTAGAACTGAACTAGAACTGAACTAGAACTGAACTAGAACTGAACTAGAACTGAACTGAACTAGAACTGAACTAGAACTGAACTAGAACTGAACTAGAGCTGAACTAGAACTGAACTAGAACAGAACTAGAACTTGAACTGAAGCAGAACTAGAAGAAGAGCTGAACTAGAACTGAACTAGAACAGAACTAGATCTGAACTTGAACTGAAGCAGAACTAGAAGAAACTCCCCCTTTTTATTGACAAATACATCAACCCATAACTAATTTACAAAAATCCCCACATTTTCACTTTCTTCCCAAACGAAAAAAACGTTTGTGGTTTACCGCTTAACGCCCTCATTGCAATTTTTAAGCACATAATTTTTCACTCACTGTACAAACACAGTTTTTTCAGTTTCTTTTAAAACATTTTCTACAAAAGGACTAAAATAAAAACCATAAATCATCTACAAAAACTACTTACTACACTTACACAAAAATGTACTACGAAATTGACTACGAGAGTATTGTTAGTTAATGATTTATTTCCCACATTGTAGTATTATTGCATTCTCTTTAGGCTGAACGTTGATGCATTTTACAATTGCCATTACAATTTATAACCGACCATACCCAGTCAACATAATTCGGAACTTTAGCATAAATACCAAATTTATTACGTTTCGCACAACCATCACCAAATGATGTTATGCCAAATATAGTCCAAGGATGATTAGGTTTTGTAGTATCACGACATAACAGAGGACCTCCTGAATCTCCCGCACACGTGTCGATGCGTCCTCTTTTGTGACCAGCACAAAACATATTTTTCGTTATGGTATAATCATGATAAACCGAACGACAATTATCCATGGGTATAATGGGTACTTCGGCTTGATGTAGTACACTAGTGCCGGCTATATCACGATTACGTCTTTTACCCCAACCTATGACAGTACAATCCATATTTTTCGGCAAAGGTTGATAGGGTCTGGGCAGACAAGAGAAACCTATCCAGGTAGTGCTGTTAATGGGTTTGGGTAGCCTGTAATGATAAACAAGAGTTGGATTTTTAGTTTTTTTGTTTTTAGATATTTGGGTTTAGGTTTACTTACTTTAATAGGGCCACATCACTATCCACCGTTTTCTTATCAAAGTTGGGGTGTTTGAAACTTTTCATCACTTTTACTTGTAGCTCGGTGCCATCTTCATAGTCCAAATTGTGTTCTCCTATGCGTACATATAATACCTTGCGCACACAATGGGCTGCCGTTAACACCCATTGAGGGGCTATCAAGGTGCCACCGCAAAAGGCTTCCTGGAAAGGGAAAAATATAGGAAATTAGTCCACAGATTAGTGTCTACATTCGAACTCCCTTTTACAAAATTGCACTAGAATTGAGTTCGAAAAACAGGTTCGTTTTATTGATAGCTTTGACGAAAGTAGGATCTAGGAATTTCTAAGTCATTCGCTGGCGATCGGAATTTTGGTGCCGATAATAACTTCTTTTGATTTCTATCGAGTTCATCGAGGAATAACACTTTCAGATGTTATCGTATCTACTAGGTTCAAGATTAATTTAAAATACTAATTGTTTGTTATTATCCAGTTATTTTCTTCGCAAAAGAATATTCTTATTCCAATGGCCGCAGTATCGAATGACCGACAGAGAAATCAAAATCATATAATGAAGCTGTTCATGCGAAAGAAAAGACGAACCGGTCCATTATCTTTTTGACCGGTCCGCTCTACGAGAGCGAGTACTGTGTTGTCTTCTTAAAATATGGATCTAAAAGATCCAGATAGATCTCACTTTGTAAAACAAAAATCTCGATATATCGAATATCAGAAAACTGAGGCTTCTTTATCAAGAAAGGCTTAAGTCAAAGGCTCGTCCCTAGAACACCTAATATTCGCTCTACAAGAGAGCAGACTGAAATGTCCGAAGAAACATTTGGTACTCTCGAGAAACACTGGACTCTCAAAGACAGCCCAAATAAGGGAGGAGTCTTTATCTCGACAACAATCGATCTCATCCAGATTAAGTTAAAAAATTAATCTGTACCGAAACTTGATTTTATTCGAAAAATTAAGGCTTGTTTACCTGGAAAACGTTAAGTCGGGAGCTGGTCTAACAAACCACCGCCTCAAATTTTCTGGCGCGTTCTCAATTTATATTCATGTTTAAAATGATCGACTGTCAAGTCTTATATTTCTTTCATACGATGAATATCAGACTGATTTCACAACTCACCTTATAACGATTAAAAATCGCCACTTGCCATGGCCACTCCCCTTTGCGTGCCGCCTTACCACCAATAATTTTCAGCATATTATACATGTTACGTTTATTACTACGTATCGGTGCAATGCCACATTTCAACTTCATAGGTGTATATTCGGGACCTCGATATCCCTTGCCATTCATAATGAAATCACTAAGGGTACCCCCAATAGAATTGGAAAGGGTGCCACCATCATCGTTAATATCACGGCGACGTGTTGCCACCGGTCTTAAGTCATATGTCGGCGATTTTTGTACCTGAGCCTGGAGCCATTGTTGGCAAAAGCTTCCCTCGGTATAACAGTAGGCTATCTCACGTAGAACCTCTCGACCACACTGCTCGCGAACACGACATTTTCTAAAGGAAGAGAGAAAACAAAGTTATTGTGAGGAACGACTTGATACATCTCATTTCCTTTTTCGTGTATTGGACCTATAACAAATTCGTTTAGGGGAATCTGATTTCAGAAATTTCCATACTCACTTATATCTTCTTGTCGTACACTTTGGCGAACATTTTGTCCAACGACTCCATTTCGAATAAATACGTCTGTGTTTTGGTATTAAATGATCTGGTGTTGCTCTCTCTTTAGAAGGTGACAAATTCGAAGTGTTAGCACCATCCTCGTCTACTGGATCCTCATATGAGACATCGACATCAGCATGTTCAGGACGACTTATATCGATGTCGAAATCTTCATACTGAAATACATCACCCTCAATCGCACCATCATCAAACACACCCACAGCCCCCTTAAGATTACGTCTTGAGTTCTGTCGGCCTTGACGATGACCAGAACCCTTAGATCTTTTCCTATCCCTCTGTCTCATCGAACGCACTTGACCTGGTGGAGTTGGTAGAAATTTTTGATTGCGTATAGATCTTACTTCACTACTAGAGGGTTCAAGAAATTCTTTTGAGGTACCCAAACCCAAATCTCTAAGATCATCTTGTTCTTGCTCTTTAGACGTTAAAACAACATCAGTTTCTCCATAATCTAAATAATCCTCAAATTCATTTAATTGAGGCTTCCGATTGCGTTGAGGTTTTCTTTTTCTCTTTGCCTTTATGACATAAAAGTCTGTCTCGTCACTGTGATCATCATTATCATCGTCGTAATGATTGCTGGTGTCATCTTTGAAATGAGATGTTTCGTGATGATCATCTTCGTCTTCGTCTTCATCAACGTATGGCGGATGAATTGTAACAGGATGATGTATGTTGTTCAAATCAGTGGGTAGTATGATTTCTGGTGTGGGTTGTTGTACCTCATGATGTGGCGGCTGATGAAGATGAGATTCTGGCTGTGTGATTGCACTTGTTGCTGAAACTGGTGCAGTGGCAGCTGCTGCTGCCGCATTGATTACAATTGTTGGTGGTGCACTGTTGATCTGTTGATGTTGTTGTTGCTGCTGCTGTTGTTGTTGTTGCTGTTGGACTGCATGTGGCGGTAGACTGCTTGACGTAGCGGGATGACATCTACAAATGTTAAAGGATTAAATAATGTTGAGACAAATTCTGAAATTTATAGATGTTGCAAACGCTTGAAGAATGTTTTGCATTTCAAAAAACGTAAATTTGTGGGTGGTAAACTATGCTACGATTTAACATTAATTTGGGTCACATTTGTATTAATATCATTTTTATTTCTTCACATCTTTTCCCTCACATTCCGTGACATTTAAATTATGATTTTATTATTTAACTCAAGAATGAACTTTTATAAAGTGGACAACAAAATCACAGCAGCAAGTTGTTGCTCTTACTGCTGCTGTAGCAAGTGGTCTTGTTACAGCAATACCACATGTCTAATCAACCATAAATTATAATTTATTGCTGCATTCCGAAGATAAATAGTTTGTTGCACAAAATCGAGATGAGATAAATGTGTTCGTTTTCTTCTCCAAAATTTTGTTGTTCAGATCATTGTTCAGCCCTACTAATTGTTAGAAGATTAATGTGACTTCTTAGAATATAGGGGAACGCATGTGTTGTGAAACGATTTACTGACCTGTTTAACAAAATTAGTTTAAGGATAATAAGGGAAATAGTGTTAAGAAAAGGTTAACTTTAAATGATCTCCATTGGAAAAAATATTTTTGAGCTATTTTTAAATCTGAATTATAGATTGATCTAATTCATAATCTGCACTATAGATTAGGTTATACTCTGAACCATAGACTGGGCTATACTCAGAACTATGGAGTGGACTGGTCTATACTTTGAACTATATACTAGAATTTAGTCTAGACTATAAAGAGGTCTATAGTCTGAACTATAGAGATATCTATAGTGTGAACTATAGAGAGATCTATACTCTGGACTATACCCTGATCTAGAGTTTGGACTATAGACTGATCTAGAGTCTGGACTACAGACTGATCTATAGTCTGCACTATAGACTGATCTATAGTCTGCGCTATACACTGATCTATATTCTGGACTACAGACCGATATATAGTCTGGATTATAGACTGATCTATTGTATGGATTATAGACTGATCTATAGTGTGGACTATAGACTGATCTAAAGTCTGAACTATATACAGATACAGATATACTGATCTGTAGTCTGGCCTATAGACTCTTCTATAGTCTGGACTATAGACTGATCTATAGTCTGGACTATAGACTGATCTATAGTCTGGACTATAGACTGATCTATAGTCTGGACTATAGACTGATCTATAGTCTGGACTATAGACTGATCTATAGTCTGGACTATAGACTGATCTATAGTCTGGACTATAGACTGATCTATAGTCTGGACTATAGACTGATCTATAGTCTGGACTATAGACTGATCTATAGTCTGGACTATAGACTGATCTATAGTCTGGACTGTAGACTGATCTATAGTCTGGACTATAGACTGATCTATAGTCTGGACTATAGACTGATCTATAGTCTGGACTATAGACTGATCTATAGTCTGGACTATAGACTGATCTATAGTCTAGACTATAGACTGATGTATAGACTGGAATATAGACTGATCTATAGTCTGGAATATAGACTGATCTATAGTCTGGAATGTAGTCTGGTCTATTGTTTGAACTATAGACTGATCTATAGTCTGGACTATAGACCGATCTATAGTCTGGACTATAGACCGATCTATAGTCTGGACTATAGACTGATCTATAGTCTGGACTATAGACTGATCTATAGTCTGGACTATAGACTGATCTATAGTCTGGACTATAGACTGATCTATAGTCTGGACTATAGACTGATCTATAGTCTGGACTATAGACTGATCTATAGTCTGGACTATAGACTGATCTATAGTCTGGACTATAGACTGATCTATAGTTTGGACTATAGACTGACCTACAGTCTGGACTATAGACTGATCTATAGTCTGGACTATAGACTGATCTATAGTCTGGACTATAGACTTATCTATAGTCTGGACTATAGACTCATCTATAGTCTGGAATATAGACTGATCTATAGTCTGGACTATAGCCTGATCTATAATCTGGACTGACCTATATTCAGGAATATATATCGATCTATATTCTGAATTATAGACTGACCTATATTCAGGAATATATATTGATCTATATTCTGGATTATAGACTGATCTATAGTCTGGAATATAGACTGATCTATTGTTTGAACTATAGACTGATCTATAGTGTGGACTATATACTGGTCTACAGTGTGAACTATAGGCTGATCTTTAGTCTGAACTATAGATTGATCTATAGTCTAATCTATAGAATAATCCATAGTCTGAACTATAAAATAGTCTAAAGTCGGAACTATAGACTAGCATATCGTCTAAACTATAGACTCGTCTATTCTCTGAACTATAGTGAAGTCTATCGTCTGAACTATAGACAAATCTATCGTCTGAACTATAGAGAGGTCTATCGTCTGAACTATAGAATGTCTATAGTCTGAACTACATATATATCTATGTACTCTAAACTGTAGATTGTTTTATATTCTGAGCTGTACATTGGTCTGTAATCTGAAGTATAGACTGATCTATAGTCTGAACTGATCTATAGTCTGAACTAGAGATTAGTCTGTAGTCTGAACTATAGATTGGTCTATAGACTGGTCAATACTCTGACCAGATTAATTTATATATATTCTAGTTTGAGGACTTCTAGATTGAATTCTATTATAGTATGGACTATATAAAACTTATTTTGTACATCCACTTTCTGCGTTCAATTTTATGATCTATCAATGCTCAGGTAAAGTTAAGTAATTATTTTTATTAGGTCCTCAGATTTCAATTTTCAGCCTCATATGATCAATATGTTTATTGGCTCTTTATTCCCTACGGGTTCTATAATTAGTAGAGAGTTTTTTTTTTTAATTTTTCTCATTTCAAATAGACTCTCCCTTTCGAATTCATAAAGGTAATTAGAAAAAAGTCTTATGGTCATTGTTCCATTTCATTTAATTTTGTTTATACAAAATTTTTACACTTCACTGATGTATGACACAATTTTCAGTGGTGGCACATTTAATTAATGCAATGCCAATGCCCTTCTTTTGTAAATACCCTATACCGAGGAAAATTATATATTTAGTTTATGCAAAGATCTGACAACACGATTTCTAAACTTAAGACTTACTAGGAATTCGAAAACATAGGTGCTACACAATAGGTTCTAAATTTCAAGCAGTCGGAGATCAGATTATTTCTAGTTACGGGTTCATGGCGGGAAATTTCGGTTCAGTCTCGAAATTTTTCGTATAAAAACCTGGAGGTAAAATAGTTACTTAGTAGTTAAAGCATTTAGGGTTGTTGTGTTCTTCCTTATCAGAGTCTCTGGAGGAAATCGAACTTACGATCTCCGGACTGACAGATTATCAACTAACCTAGGGTTTTTTGTTTGATATCGAATATCAATAGATATTTCGATCGATATCGTTTCCAGCTGGTTATGGAATTATATAGATTCATTCTCGTTCTATTTTAAGATGGACGTTAGATATAAAATGTGTTTCAAGATTTATTATGATTCGAGATATAAATTAGTCCCTTTTCACTTCTAGGGCACATTCCCTGTCGACCTTAAAACCCCTTAAAATTGATCTGTTTTTCTTTAAATTAATTGTGAACACATATAAAATATTTTCAACTTACCGCCAACATTTGCGCTCTTCTATGTGTTTAATATGACCGCATTTCCGTTTCGTTTTGCAATAACGCTCCCTACGTTGTACACACTCCGGCGAACAGGGTGTCCAAGCTGTCCAAGCAGAATATTGTAGACGATGGTGATGATGATGTCGGCGCGGCACCCATCTACTATGTGGACGATGATGATGTATACGATAATGACGACGTTCAGCTATTCGACCATTTCGATGCCACTGATGATACTGGCGTTTTTGGGCTGGTGATAGAGGTGGAGGTAGTGGTGGGCCACCAAATGGTAGACTGTGTCTTTTATGAAGTTGGTGTTGCTGAGAATGATGTTGTTGATAAAAAGGGTGTGCACTGGAAGAGCTTATTGCTGCTGTTAATGATGTTGGTGTTTGTAAATGACCTATTGAAGCATTAACTTCCGTTTTAGCCAATTGTACATGACTATTCTGTTAAGGGAAAGAGAGAAAGGGAAATATGTATATTTATGTTTTTTATTCAGAAAATTTTAACAAGATGATTTATGAATCACGTTTCTTTTATTTCTCTTTATGTCTATCAACTACACTTTTTTTATTTGATATGATACGATTTGCTATAAATGTTTCCTATAAGTGGTTTTATTGTGAACTTTTGTGCCATGTTTTTATTTGGTTCAACAACATCCATACCATTCCTAGGCAGTTGCTGTTGTTTATATAGTATTTTTTTCTTTTTGCCATTTCATTGTCTTGTGGTTTTTTGGCGGTGTCGTAAAGATGTCAATGTTATTTTTAACATGTTAAATTTATATATATATTTTTTTCTTATTTTCTTATATTTCTTGTGTGTGATTTGTTTATATCAAGTCATGTTGTCGTACCAAAAAGTGATATGATACCTTTAGTCTATGAATTTAATGGATGAATTCCCTGTTATTTCTTCTCTTCACAGTGTTACGTTTTGTGGTAAAAGTTTTTTTTTCAAAAGCTTCAGAAATTAGAACATAATAATATTTTTATAAACTGATCTATAAATTGGACTATATACTGATCTATAGTCAGGGCTAAAGTCTAACCTATAGACTAGACTATAATAGACTGATCTATAGTCTGGACTATAGACTGATCTATATACTGATTTATAGACTAATGTATAGACTGATTTATAGACTGATCTATAGACTTATCTATAGTCAGGACTATAGACTGATCTCTAGGCTGGACTATAGACTGATCTATAGTCTGGACTATAGACTGATCTATAGACTGATCTATGGTCTAGATTATAGACTGATCTATAGTTTGGACTATATACTGATCTATAGTCAGGGCTATAGTCTAACCTATAGTGTCATCTTTAGACTGATCTATAGTCTGGACTATAGACTGATCTATAGTCTGGACTATAGACTGATCTATCTACTGATCTATAGACTGATGTATAGACTGATCTGTAGTGATCTATAGTCAGGATCTATAGGCTGGACTATAGACTGATCTAAAGTCTGGACTATAGACTGTTCTATAGTTTAGAATATATACTGATCTATAGTCAAGGCTATAGTCTAACCTATAGTCTGATCTATGAACTGATCTATAATCTGAACTATAGAGTGATCTATAGTCTTGACTATGGACTGATCTATAGTCTGGACTATAGACTGATCTATAGTCTGGACTATAGCCTGATCTATAGTCTGGACTATAGACTTTTCTATAGTCAGAACTATAACTGATCTATAGTATGGACTATTGACTGTTCTATAGTCAGAACTATAACTGATCTATAGTCTGGGCTATAGACTGATCTATAGTCTGGAGTATAGACCATTCTATAGTCTGGACTATAGACTGATCCATAATCTGGACTATAGACTGATCTATAGTCTGGACTATAGACTGATCTATAGTCTGGACTATAGACTGATCTATAGTCTGGACTATAGACTGATATATATTCTGGATTATAGGCTGATCTATGGTCTGGAATATATACTGATCAATAGTCTGGACTATAGACTGATCTATATTCTGGACTATAGACTGATCTATATTCTGGACTATAGACTGATCTATAGTCTGGACTATGGACTGATCTATAGTCTGAACTATAGACTGATTTATAGTCTGGACTATAGACAGATCTATAGTCTGGACTGTAGACTGATCTATAGTCTGGACTATAGACAGATCTATAGTCTGGACTGTAGACTGATCTATAGTCTGGACTATAGGCTATAGTTTTCCACTTTAAAGATTCCTAATGCATTACAACAAAAACAACTTTCCCAAATCTATCCACTGTATCTCGTACAAATTGCACTCATATTGTATTGTCTTGTTAAAGATTTTTTTCTTTTCTTATTTATCTGGAAAAACATAAATCTTTATATGGACTCTTGTAGCGCTGCATTGCAGCTCTTCAAGTGCTAATGAACTTCTTTTCTTTTACTTTTTAAAGATGAACCAAACATTTCACCGTTTATATCTTTTGTTGTTCTTCATCTCCTGGTTTTATGATTCTATGACCAGTTTCTTCTTACATTATTGTGTCAAACGACAAATGATCTTTAAATTTGTCAAAAGTTTAGAGAGAAAAGAATTAAAAAGAAAAATTGTCATTAAACTATTGATCTTCTGGGGGAAATTATTACAAAACTAAAGCCAATGAAAAGTTGTATATATTACAAAATTTTATTTTAGTTTTCATTCTCGTAAAATAATTTTCTTAGAAAAAAATTAAAGGAAAGTCTTTAATTTGGGGAGCAATAAAAGAAGTGGGTCGGTTGTTGTGTTATGACTTCTTATGAGATTTTCTAGATATTTTAACTTTTGTATAAGATTAAACATTGCATTGGAATAAATAGAGTTAATAAAAAGTTAAATTTTAGTTAAAATTCTAGCTAGAACTACATTATCCGCTATTATCCATTTGTATCCGAATGAACTGAACAGCACACCCTTTAATTCTTAGTGTATTTTAGTTTCCTTCTAGCATTTCTTTCACTGATCTTTCCATCTGTTTACAATTTTTAGTACAAATCATAACAAAACTATCTGTCTGTCCGACTGTCTATTTACAAAAATCTATTTTTATTTTTCATTTGCAAAACAAACATGCTTCTCTTCGATCTGTTTCCCATTTTGGCATTACACTCGACTTTTTTTCCCCTCCATTCCAATTTTTTATATTTTTAAACTTTTGCAACAATAGAACAGGAGCGCCTCAATTTTTGAAGAGAATCTAAAAGATCTTAAAACTAATTGTTTCATCTGTTTATTTATATGGACAATTAGAAAAAATTTACTTTAATTAGTTGGGTGTCAAGATGAAATTAAACTACGTATCTGAAACTGACATATCAGATGAACTAAATAGACATCGGGAATGAAATTAACAGACATTGTAGACAAGACATGTGATTATGTTTATTGTTGAAGTTTTTTTGTGGTGTCTATCATTTTTTCTTAAAAAAAAACTACTTGAAACAGCAGAAAACTGTTTTAAAAAGAAAACTTTATTTTCGATCAGTTTTTTATAGAAAACTTTATCACCGATCAGTTTCTTATATAAAACTTTACAATCAATCGGTTTTCTAAAGGAAACTTCATTGTTGAGAAGTTTTCTATAGAAAACTTCATTGTCGAAGACTTCATCATCGATCAGTTTTTATAAAAAACTTTACCATCGACCAGTTTCTTATTTAAAATTTTACTATCGATCAGTTTTTTATAGAAAACTTTACTATCCATCAGGTTTTTATAGAAAATTTTATCATCGATTAGTTTTTTTTAGTGATAACTTCATCATCGATCAGTTTCTTATATAAAACTTTACTATCGATCAGTTTTTTATAGAAAATTTTATCATTGATCAGTTTCTCATATAAAACTTTATAGTCGATCAGTTTCTTATCTAAACCTTGTTTATAGATCAGTTTCTTATATAAAACTTTTCTATCGATCAGTTTTTTATAGAAAATTTCATCGTCGATCAGTTGCTTATATAAAACTTTACTGTCGATCAGTTATTTATAGAAAACTTCATCATTGATCAGTTTTCTATAGAAAACTTTATCATCGATCAGTTTTCTATAGAAAACTTTATCATCGATCAGTTTTCTATAGAAAACTTTATCATCGATCAGTTTTCTATAGAAAACTTTATCATCGATCAGTTTTCTATAGAAAACTTTATTATCGATCAGTTGTTTATATAAAACTTTACTATCGATCAGTTATTTATAGAAAACTTCATCATTGATCAGTTTTCTATAGAAAACTTCATCATCGATCAGTTTACTATAGAAAACTTTATCATCGATCAGTTTTCTATAGAAAACTTTATCATCGATGAGTTTTCTATAGAAAACTTTATCATCGATGAGTTTTCTATAGAAAACTTTATCATCGTTGAGTTTTCTATAGAAAACTTTATCATCGATGAGTTTTCTATATAAAACTTTATCATCGATGAGTTTTCTATAGAAAACTTTAGTTTTATATAGAAAACTTTATCATCGATCAGTTTTTTATATAAAACTTTATCATCAGTTTTCTATATAAAACTTCATCATCGATCAGTTTTTATAGTTTACTTTATCATCGATCCGTTTTCTATAGAAAACATTATCATCGATCAGTTTTCTATAGAAAACTTTACCATCGATCAGTTTCTATAGAAATCTTTATCATCGATCAGTTTTCTATAGAAATCTTTATCATCGATCAGTTTTCTATAGAAAATTTCATTATCGATCAGTTTTCTATAGAACATTTATCATCGATCAGTTTTCAGTTTCATCATTTTACATGGAAATTTTTATCATTGATCATTTATAATCGATCAGTTTTTTATATAAAACTTTATCATCAGTTTTCTATATAAAACTTCATCATCGATCAGTTTTTATAGTTTACTTTATCATCCATCAGTTTTCTATAGAAAACTTTTTCATCGATCAGTTTTCTATAGAAAACTTTACCATCGATCAGTTTTCTATAGAGAATTTCATCAGTCAGTTTTCTATAGAACATTTTATCATCGATCAGTTTTCTACAGAAAACTTTATCATCGATCAGTTTTCAGTTTCATCATTTTACATGGAAATTTTTATCATTGATCATTTATCATCGATCAGTTTTCTACAGAACATTTTATCATCGATCAGTTTTAAAATTTTCATTAAAATTAATATTTTATCATTGATCAGTATTCTATAAAAATTTCATAATTTGATCGGTATTCTGTTCATCTGTTCTACTTCCAAATCTTGATCTGTATCTTTAAACGTTTTTGCACCAATATTTTATTTCAAAAAGAATCTACCCAAAACAACACTTCCACGATGACTAATTTAAATTTGAGTTCTTTTATAAACATTCTAAATAAACATTCAATCAATTAAACAATTGAATACAATTGAATTTGATTTTAGATTTTTTTTCCTAAAAATAAAATTTCTATACATAATGACGTATACAGTTGAAGTTAGTTAGCTGCAGTTTACTAAATGACTAATTGAAAAGTTATTTGACTTCAATTATTGTCACATTCAATTTTAATTAGTTTTAAACAAATTTTAAAACTTAAACTATTTAGCCAATCATCAATATGTCGAAACCTTCAAATTGAAGGCAATTATTTCCGCATGATTTCATGAGAATTTCAAATATTTCAAGTTCAATTTCACAACTAAAGAACAAAAAAATTAAAAAAATACAATAGTTTTTTCCAAAAAGTTAAACAAAATTTTTAGTTAAATTGTTGAAAATTTATTTTTTTTTTTTTTGTTAAAATAAAATTTATTTTTTTTTTTTTTTTTTGAAATGATGACAGTTGGTTTGACACTTTATCTAAAGTTTTCATTAAAATATTTTGTAGTTTTTTGTTGGTTTTGTGTTTTTCTGACGTATGGTATGCATTTAAATATTGTAATTTTTGCTCTTGAGACATGTGTCACAAATTTAAATGATGTTATTTTCTGAGATTTTAAATATTTTGGTTAAAAAGTATTCGACTCTACTCTGGAGTGGACAACTGATTTGTTTATTTTTAAATAATACTTTAGAAAATATGAAAGGATCGTTTTATGGTATTTTGAATTATTCGATTATCGGAATATGACAGTTTTCTATAGAAAAAATACTTCATAATCTATTTAAAAAAAATTATCAAAGAATACTTCATAATCGATTTAAAAAAAAAGTTTTCTATACAAAACTATGTATATCAGCGATCAGTTTTCTATTAAAAACTTTATCATCGATCAGTTTTCTATAAAAAACTTTATTATCGATCAGTTGTCTATAGAAAACTTTATCATCGATCAGTTTTTATAGAAAACTTTATCATCGATCAGTTTTTATAGAAAACTTTATCATCGATCAGTTTTTATAGAAAACTTTATCATCGATCAATTCTCTATAGAAAACTTTATCATCGATCAGTTTTTTATAGAAAACTTTATAATAGATCAGTTGTCTATAGAACACTTTATCATAGATCAGTTGTCTATAGAAAACTTTACCATCGATAGTTTTCTATAGAAAACTTTATCATCGATAAGTTTTTATAGAAAACTTTATCATCGATCAATTTTCTATAAAAAACTTTATCATCGATCATTTGTCTATAGAAAACTTTATCATCGATCAGTTTTTATAGAAAACTTTATCATCGATCAGTTTTTATAGAAAACTTTATCATAGATCAGTTGTCTATAGAAAACTTTATTATCTATCAGTTTTATATAGAAAACTTATCATAGATCAGTCTTTTATAGAAAACTTTATCATAGATCAGTTGTCTATAGAAAACTTTATTATCGATCAGTTTTCTATAAAAAACTTTATCATCGATCAGTTGTCTATAGAAAACTTTACCATCGATCAGTTGTCTATAGAAAACTTTACCATCGATCGATCAGTCTTCTATAGAAAACTTTATCATCGATCAGTTGTCTATAGAAAACTTTATCATCGATCAGTTGTCTATAGAAAACTTTATCATCGATCAGTTGTCTATAGAAAACTTTATCATCGATCATTTTTCTATAGAAAACTTTATCATCAAACAGTTTTCTATAGAATACTTTATCATCGATCAGTTTTCTGTAGAATACTTTATCATCGATCAGTTGTCTATAGAAAACTTAATCATTGATCAGTTTTCTATAGAAAACTTTATCATCGATCAGATTTCTATAGAAAATTTTATCATCGTTCAGTTTTCTATAGAAAACTTCATCATCGATCAATTTTCTACAGAAATCTTTAACATCGATCAGTTCTCTATAGACAACTTTATCATAGATCAGTTTTCTACAGAAAAAAACTTTATTATCGATAAGTTTTCTATAGAAAACTTTATCATCAATCATTTTTTTTTTTTATAGGAAACTTTACTATTCCTATAAAAAAACTTATCATCGATCTGATGATCAGTTTTCTATAGAAAAATTTATCATTGATCGGTTTGTATAGTAAACTTAATCATTGATCGGTTTTCTATAAAAAACTTTATCATCGATCAGTTTCCTATAAAGAACTTTAACATCGATCAGTTTTCTGTAAAAAACTTTATAATCGATCAGTTCTTTAAAGAAAACTTCATTATTGATCTTTTTTTTTTTTTTTTTTTTGAGAAAAATTCATCATTAATCAAAAATTTCTATGGAAAACTTTAATGGTGATCATGCATCAGGTTTTGTTATGATGAATGATCTTTGAATGCTGATATCGAATTAGTTTCGTTTAAAAAATTTCATAATCGATTACCATTCTCATATCGATCCGATTGTTCCATTTAACTTTAAAATTATTATGGATCCATTATAAAGCTTTTTTATTCGATTCGATTAAAAAATTCACTCAAACTCCAGTATTACTTTACTTTTTATATTTATTTTAAGGATTTGTTAAAAGAAAAATATTGTACAGACAGTTGAAATCTTTATCCAATAAATTGTTGTAAAGATTAGCAAAATTATTATACTTCAAATAATTCTCTTGAAAAAGAACACACACTCAGTGGTCTTAGGAAGATTGTGGCAAAATTTTGTCATGAACAGGGAGGGGAGTTTCAGTGTTTAATGCAGTTTTAATAAAAACTTTTGACAAGTGAAGATTTCTTGGAGTAAATTTAGTTAAAACATATTAGGGAATATGTTTGCCATCTCTGCTTTCTGTGCAGCAGATGACGAAGTTGTTGACAAAGATGCGACAGTAGGAAGGAAAAGTACATTAGTTAAAGAACAAGAAAACCCCAGACAGTTGAAGTTTAAAACGATTTAATGCATCATGTAGCAAAGTGTTTATTCTTTTTATAGAGAAATTTATATATTTTTTTATTTTAAAAAAGATTTTAAGAAAATTGTAGAATTAGTGTCTCTTGTCTGTTTTTTTTTAGTTGACACTGGTTTTGTGTATTGACAGAAGTACAAACATTTTATCTTGGACTTCTGTCATAAAATCATAATATTGTTTTAATTAATTAAATATTAGCATGACACCAAATAGATTACAAAGGGACAGTCTGGTGATTGGTCTAAAGAAGAAAAAGTATTAAATGTTGAATAAAGCAATAACTCTAGCCATCCGCGACTGTAAACTGGGGGAGGTTAAAAGAGTCCTCGGTAATATATTCTTAAACTTCCCTATTATTTCAGCCTTTAAAATAATTCGTTTCATTTTGTTTTCTTGAAATTTTAATTTCAGGAAATTGCATTCAATTACCTTGAACTTATTCTCCATTAAAAATAACTAAACTAACTTAAAAATAATATTTGATTTATGATTTCAATTCAAATACAATTCGACTTACCTCAGATAATTTGAATATTTGCATTAAAGCCAATAACTTCAATAAAACTGCCAGTTCATGTTATAATACGATTTGACTGATGCTAATCAATCAATTATTTTTGTTTAAACAATTAACTTTTTTATAATACTCTGCTTTTATTAAAAGCAACCAGTCAAAAGCCATAACCAAAGCAAAGTAATTGATGGGAAACAGATCTGTAAAGGAATTGAAAAATAAATAATTAAAAATTTATTTCAAACCTCATATATTTAAGGATTCAATTTTTTTTCTGAAATTAAAATACAATTTGATTTTTTATTTTTTTTTTTTTTTTTGTTTTTTCTTAAAAGCCAAAAACCACTCAACTCTTTAGCTTTAATAATTAAACTGAACTAAATTATTCTTCATTTGTCTATGCGCGCACAAAAAAAAAACGCACTTTTTGAACAATTTAATCAAATTGTGTATTTTCGAAACATTGTACATTCATACAATTCCTAAAATTCAATGCAGATTTCAATATTTTTTTTCATATATATAGTTCTACTATTCTTTTGATGTTGATAATTAGTAAATAGAAAACGCACACAGCATTCATTAATTAAAATTATATTTAAGTATTTAGATACATTTTAATAATTGTTTGAAATAAACATGCTTACGAAGTAAGTGATCATTGCGATCATTAAGGTTTGAATGAGTAATGTGATGATTATGATGCGAGTGATCTCTCTCATCTGTATTTAATAATATTAAAAATTTATGCATTCAAACACCCACTGTGATTAAATGAAAATTTATTTTACTTTATTTTATATGTGGTTCAGATAATTTTTTAGAGTAAATGTCAGTCGGAAATTACCCACTAAAATATATAAAATCTAAATATTTTCTCGTTGCTTTGAAAGTCCCAATTGTAAGCTTTAGAAACTAGTATGATTTACAGACGATTCCAAACAGACAAATAGCAACACTGGAGCCATCCCTATGGGCAATTAACCCTCAATCTTTCAGACAGAAGTCTACGCAATTATCATCTGCATTAGATAATGTCTGAAAAGGAAACTGAGAGGCTTAAAAATATTTGTGATGTCGGGTAGTCAAGCGGCCCTCAAGGATTTACTATCATGTTTTACATCTCTAAATAAATTGGGTAGACATAACAAACTCACACTTTTTTGGGTACACGACCATGAAGGTCACTCTGGCAATGAAAGAGCAGATTGTCTGGCAAATAGGGACGCACGGCGCCTATTTATTGGACCAGAACCATACTTTACACTAAGGAAAAATGCCAATATCAGGACTCAGTCAAGAAGCCTCATAATGCTAATAAAAGGTAAATCCCAAGAGTGACCTAAGATTACTAACGGGACTTTATACCGGACACTGTGGACTTAGATACCACCAGTACAACAATGTGACGAGTTTATGTAGATTCTGTGAACTGCAGGATGAAACCTCCAAACTGTACTTTGTGACTGTCAGACACTATGGCCTCTCAGAGCGAGTATTCTGGAAGGCTCACTTATGTCGTCTAATCAAATATTCAATCTCCCACTGTCTAAAACATTAAGATCTCCAATGGTGAACCAAAGATAGATAGATAGATAGATAGATAGTAGATAGATAGATAGATAGATAGGATAGATAGTATAGATAGATAGATAGATAGATAGCTAGATAGATAGATAGATAGATAGCTCGCTAGCTCGCTCGCTCGTCGATCGCTCGCTCGATAGCTCTCTCGCTCGCTCGCTCGCTCGCTAGCTCGCTCGCTCTCGCGCTCGCTCGCTCGCTCGCTCGCTCGCTGCTCGCTCGCTCGCTCGCTCGCTCGCTCGCTCGCTCGCTCGCTCGCTCGCTCGCTCGCTCTCGCTCGC